AAATACTAATAGATACAATATATTTTAGGCCACTCTGTATATGCCGTCCTGTAAACATTCCGGCTTGTCGAGTCTTTTTTAGATATGTCTTCAGTTAGAAGAGATCAATTTTCCGTTCGATTCCGATGTCCATTTAAAGTCTCTAAGCTGAAACGTTTGCGGGGGTTAAAAAAATCGCCCGCCTCCTGACGTCACCGCCGCCGCTCCCGAATGATTTATGTTTTTCGCGTTTCTCTATTAAATTTCAATACCGCATATATGGAAATACGAAAAATCTTTTCGGGGCGACCTTTTCCGAAAAGAGAAGGGGGGACGCGGACGTTTCGCCCCCTCAACTCCCCCATCCGACGATTTAGCTCGGGCGTCGGCACCGACGACTCGATTAAGCATAATGCTTTAGATAAATTGACGTTTAATGGTGCAAGCTGGGGCGGCGGCGGCGGCGGCGGCCGCCCCTCCAGCCTTTCCTTTCACCTTTAATACGGGAATATTTCGTATAATCAGAGAGCGCTCTCGAGAAATTGTTTTATCGCGCGGAGGTACCCCTACCCCAGTCCCGCTCTCCCGTTCTCTCCGTAGCCTCCACCACGATTTACGCGCCAACGCCTCTAAGTAGAGCTCTCGTGATTATAGAGTCCGGAGTCAAAGTTCCAGGTGTATGAGAAGGGGGACACTCTTAATATAACCATTGTCGATCTAACTGTTCGTGAAGAATTAATAGTCGCTAAAGTAGAGTAGAACTTTTAAATAAAGCAATGTGGCTTGCTATCTCGCATTTAACGAGAATGAAGTCTAAGGTAAATAGCAATAATATCGCTTAATATATACAGACTGATCTAAATTAAGTGTTCATCATTGGTAACTTTGTTATGAGTAGATTCAAAATCGGTTGACTTAGCAGACTAGTAGCATTTTTTCCAACTGATTACGATGGTGAAAAAGCGTAAGAAACATGGAAATAACAAAATTTAAAAAAAAATAAAAACCTAAAGTACGAGGTTTTCAAAATAACACCTCTTACTTTCATAAAATTTTGAGCATGTCTTTCTATTTAGCGAATTACCTTTAGTATTGTCCTACCATTTGCCTGGTTTATTTTTTCTCTTATGCAGCATTTAAAACGTCAACATCTTTATTCGTTAATTCCGTCCTTTAAATAGTAGAAATCAAGTGAAGTTATATCTGGTGACCTAGGAGGGCAAAGAATAGGTCCATTTGTAACAATCCATTTATTGTTGAAAATGGTTGTCAGAAATTGATATGTGCCTCGGAAGTTATGAGCTGGTGCCCCACTTATGAGGGCAAGCTCATCTAGAAAACTGTATAGAATTTCAGTAATAATTGCAGTATACCGTTCACCGGTCAGCGTGCCATCGTATAAATTTGCACCGATAATGCGAGAACCAATTATACCGCACCAAACGTTAAATCTGAAACGAACTTGGATGTACTACCAATAAATTTTGTCTTGACAAATAGTTCCAGAATTTGAGAAATGTGGTTCGTCAGTCCACAAAATAAACCGAAAATTTTGGCGGCAAAGCATACCAATGACAAAAAAGTCCTCTCTCTGCATCCCTTGCGAAGAGCACCTGTGTGTTTGTTTTTTTTTTTTAATTTTTGAGGATAGGTTAAAGTGTTTGACTATGTCTCGAATAGAATTGTCACGTTATGCTTCAGAATATCCAAGAACACCAATTTCCACTTCTTAACTTAAAATAAAAATTTTTCGTCTCTATTTTGCAAAAACGGTTTCATTATTTCTAAATATTCGATAAAGACGAGGAAAAAAAATTTCATGTGGTACAAGGCGCAGTGAATATAGGTTTATGTATCGTTGTGTTGCCCTTACAGATGATTTACTGCAAGTCAAATAGCATTCTAATATGTCGCACTTTTCTTCATGAGCAAAAACCATTAAACCAGCAAAATTAATTTAAATAATTGATAACAATTGATATAACAAAACTAATAACATTAGTTTTCTATTTGGCGGGGCTGTCATTATTTTCCACATTCTGCTTTGAACAATTTTTTTCTGCGCCTTTATCGAATATTATATAATAATTATATTATTATAATCGAATAATATATTATAATGAAACGGTTTTTGCTAAAAGGAGACGAAAAAATTGTATTATAAGTAAAGACGTGGACATTAGTGTTATTATTGTTGTTTTTTAGGCTCAAATAAAACAATGAAAGGAAAATAGAGCTTTATTTCGCAATCACCCATAGGCATCTAGTCTAAAAGAGTTAGAGTAAAAAATATATAGGGTCTTCTATTTAAAAACGGTATATTTTACTCATTTCTCCTTAACCCTACACTCAATTGTTTTTCTATTTTTACCACCCTAATCAGTGGAAAAATTGCTACTAGTTTGCTAATTTAACCGACTTTGTATCTCTACTCATAACAAAGTTATCAATGATGAACACTTAGTTTAGATCAGCCAAGTATTTCTGTGAAAAGGATGAATCTCAACAAAAAATCAATATTTATAACAAAAAAGGTGTGTATGAAATTTTAATTATACCGTTCATAGTAATGTTTTTTGCTTTGTCGATACTAGTTGTTCTTTTGTTTAATATTATTAATTTTAACTAACTAACCCTAATCAACTCCATATTTCTATATTGATCGGTATTTTCAAAATTTTCATTTAAATTTCCCATGTTTATGCTGTAAAAGCGAGCATTGTATTTTTTACCGTGTTGTTCTCCATTACGTAAAAAGAAAGCAGATGGTTCCCCATTTTTTAGAAATTTCCCAGAGGAGCCGCTCAGTTTCACGTCTTCCTTGAGTAAAAGTTTCGCAGCAACTGTTTTTCATAAAAAACAATATATTTCATTATATTCCCATACATTTACGCAAAAACCAGATTAAAGAAAACTGCACAATTTACGAAGGCAAATAAAAGATTAAAAAAACGGGAGCGTATCTAAATTAACTACTCCACAAAGAAAAAAATTTTGTGAGGCAATATAACAAACATTGATAGAAAAATGACATTAAAAACAAAAAGAAAAACATTAGAAATATAAACTAGTCGTTATAATTTAATTGCCTAATCCGACAACGTTGCAATTCGAAATTCCAAGCCGACGTTGCCGTTTCGCAACTTCTCACTTTAAAATATACTTTATGTTAAGATGGCCGCGCTGCCACTTCCGAAGCGAATTTTCCAGTTAATAACGGGAATTAAATTTGAAACGACCCATCGTGTCGTTTGCCCGGAGTTAATAAGCCCTTCCGATAACGACATGGTAATAGATAGGCGGCACCGGACTAATCCGGGTACGGGACCTGTTTCCATATTATTTTCGATAGGTCCTTTGTCTGGTAATTTCTCGTTTATTTTAAATTGTCCCCCATGTTAAGCCCGATAATTTCCTCGGTGGGTGCGGATAAGGGATTGAAACATTAACTGTTTAGTTTGCTAGTTACTTTTTTCTTCTTATAAAGCAGATATTTTCCTACAGGAAAAATATCTAACAAAAAATTAAAAAAAAAAAAAGAATTGATAATGAAGCATTAAATAAACAGAGTGCGTCACGTAAGAACAATTTTTTAAAATGGTGTCTCACGCAACTAATAAAACACCTTCAGAAGTGTTGCAAAATTATTGTGAGAATAGTAATAGTACCCGTAATGATGTACAAAATTTAATAATTTTGTGTATATGTTGAAAAAATTGAAATATTTCTGAAAGCACATTTACTTCTGAAAGTAAATTTTTATGTTTGCAAAATATCAAAAGGGGATTACGTCCAACAAGTTTCGAAAAACACGAGTGCGCAAAGACTCAGTCTCAAACGTGACCAATTCTCGTTCTCTTCACAAATTCATTTATTAATGAATAAAAAATAAAATAATGAATAAAAAATAAATTTTTAATTATTTAATTATAATTATTTAAATCAAATTAAATATTTACGGTTTTTATATTTTATAAAAGTATGTTTGTTATACCTATTTTAAGAGTTATCCGAAGTAGCGTCTCAAAAAAATTAGATAGCGGAAATGATACCATGATTTTAATTGGACACCGCGTAACATTATTAATTTTTTGAGCCATATCAAAACCACGAATTTCCTGCAGGATATATTTTATAGATTAAATAACATTATTTTTTCAAGAAGAAAATCAAGAAAAATGTTGACAAACTGTACGATAACGCCCTGTTAATTTTTTTTACTCCGGAAATATTTTGATCGCACTAAATTGCTTTGGTAACTGACTATGACGTACTTTAAAGCTATCGCACACTGAAAAACGTTTTTTATTATACGTATACAATGATAAACTTTAAAAGTTATTACATTACTATTTGGATTGCACCTAGTTCTACAATTATCAAAAGCGTATCAAAATGGTAGGTAAAGGCAAAAATTACGAAAATCCTGTTGTTTTTACATTAATTATTATTTTAGTATTATTATCTAGAGCTGTTATTTAAATCTTAATTTCTCAAAAAAAAAAAGAATATGATTCTAAAACGTCACATTAAATAGCTTTAGTAACTTGCCATCACACTTTTTAGTTATTAAGATAATGATAACAAATCAAATTCCAAAACGCTTCCATATAAAGTAACACACAAAATATTTTTTATTAAAAAAATTAAATTAAAAATAATTTAAAATTGTATATATTAACAGTTATTACATTGTTATAAAAGTAAATTTTACCTAGTCCTACAATCATATGAAAGGGTATATCAAAACAAATTTAAGATACCAGAAATTGTTCGCATTAATTGATAATTTTTTTATTCGCCATGTACATTGACTGCATAATATATTTTATTTAAAAAAAAAACACACGACTGGGTAATGTTCTGAAGATGTCTCATATTAAAAAAATATATAATATCACGTTTCAATAAAGTCTTCTTTATTAAGTCCTCAAAATCTTCAGCTTCAACGTGAAATACCCTGTATATCGCGAACCCCCCACTCCACCTCTAACCGCAAAGAAAAGACTGCGAAAACTTACCCAAAGAAAAAAACAGCGACAGGAAGCAAATCCGTGCGGCTGCTACTCCGGCCATAACCGATAATCAACCTGAAAAGTCTCCGACAACACTAAAACGATAATTCCGCGACATTTTCCGATCTCGAATTTCGCAACAGTTTTCAGTCAAATAAAGTTTCGTTCGCGCGGTCACGCTACCCGCTCATTTTCTTGGTCTTCTTCACCAATCACCAGTACGTCGTCATTGTCGTCGCGTTCTCCAAAAATCACCTCCGGGAAATCGGGGAAAAACTCTCGCGCGTGTGGGAAAAGAAAAACCACCAGCCTGGTTGCCTGAACGAGAAGAGTGGACCGATTGGCGTCGAGACGCCCCGGATCTCTGCGTTCGAGCGGCGCCTGCGTCCGTCTCCTCTCGCAGCGTTCTATTATGATTATACGGTTATTGCTGATAACACACAGATTCAATATTGATGAAAGATGTCACCTGGAACGTGTTTTTCTGCCATCCCCATCATCCCCTTCCCCCAGCGCGGACGACCGTGGCCATCTCCGCGTATTGATTCGAATGGCCAGGCGATATGACGACCGCCTTTTTTTTCGGGGGGACCGGGGGTCGGTGTTGTGGCCACGAGGGTGCCGCGATTTTTTGTTTGCGATTTGGAGATTGGAGGGCGCGTGGTGGATAACAAGGACATTCTTGGAGTCACCGCCGCTTTCTTACTTTTAATCTCGCACTGTGTTGATTTAAAGTAAGAGTGACAATTTTAGTCAGTAGAGATGAAAAGACTTCCTATAGGGGCATTATATATAGATACTGACCTACTTTTCAAGTGTACCCAAAGAGCACAAGGACGTCTATAAAACATTCTCGGGATATCTGGCGGGACATAGCGTATATCCATAGGATATACTGTTTCAGCTAAGCGACATCCTTAAGACGTCTCGAGGATGTACGGTATACTAAATGGAACGTCCACAGTATATCAAATATGTCCGTAGGATGTTTGTAAGGACATACTAAGGATATCCAGTTATACTAGTTGAGACGTCGTTAGTATATCCGACTGTGAGGATATAGGATCTTGTATAGAATATACCAGTGGACCTTACTTAATTATTAGGCTATGTCCAACAGCCTATGGGAAATACAAAAATACAACCCAACCTAAAGTATCTTAAATATAACTCCAAAAGAATAACTAATATTTCACAGGTTTTTCGTAATTCTTTGATGAAAGTAGCTTTTTTCAGCCAATTAGCTATTGAATTCTCACAATCTTTTGAATTTTGTGATGCGTTTGCCTTCTTATCCGCATCTGAAAATATTTTAGTTTTCAGAAAGACAGGTTTTATATATTTGTGCTTTACAAAAAAAAATTAAAAAAAGCGAGACTGGGATCTTATATGTTTACAAAACAGATCCGCCTTTTAAGTAAAGGCTTGATCTGACGCTGATAGTACTCTCATGAAAGTTATCTTAGATGCTAATCTCCACGATGATGCAGGTATACATTTATGTATTTCATTTCATTAAATGCAAACCTTATTAAACTCTCATCGGAAAGATCTCTTTCATGAGAGTAGATGGAGTAGTAGATGAATCCGTGTTTTCTGTGATATAAAAATAATAAAAACAAGTTGATTTTAACGGATTGATTGGTTTTTTTTAGGACCTGCCAACACTGACGTCAATGTAGAAGTGCACAAAAACGTTGCCAATAAAATTTCTCCCAAAACACCACAAACCTAAAAAAATTAAGTATTTTCCCTCTCAGTTCAAAATTTAACTTTTCAGGTTTCTATTCTAATGTTCCCATTATGGCGCAAGGGGATATCCTCAGGCCATCTATTTGGAGGATGTCTCTGGTATATCGTGTACAGTAAATCCGCAAGCTATCCATTGAGAGGCTATCCCTGGGATGTAATTTACAGTATATCCTTAGTATATATTATATCCTAAGAATATACTCCACATGTCCCGAGATGTGCGACTAAAATGGAACATTGACCGGATATACTGGGCATATTGTGTGCTATCTGGTTAGTTACTTCAACATCAACAAAGTATAAATTAAAAGCAGAAATTTTGATACTATTTTAATCTAAAATTATAGGAATAGAAATAGAACGTATCATTTTAATCCGGTGGTAAGATCTCTTAAGAATACAAGACTTGTTTGCTTTTATAGAGATTCAGAATAAAAATAGCCAGAGTCATTAGGAATGGAAAGTGTCATTTTAGTTCTTGTCTATATATATGTGCTTACTATGAACCTAGAATTATAGGAATAGGAGTTCAATCATTAAAGAGATAGCACGTATCATTTTAATCGGTGGTAAGACCTCTCAGGGATACAGGACTTGCTTTACTTTGAGTCTAGAATTACAAGGATTTAAAATAAATTTAGAATTATAGGAATAGTTTAAGAATTAATTAAAAAGTGAATTATAGACACATAAAGTAAAAACGCTAATTTCAATCTCTAAGGATGGCATTTTAATTCGTGGTAAAACTTCTCAGAGATCCAAAACAAAGTGTAGAATTACAAGGATTCAAATTAAAGGTAGCAATTTTAGTCATTAGGAATTGAAAGTATCATTTTAATTCGCGGAAAGAATCTGATGGATACCACATGTGCTTACCATTATCGGAATAGGAATTCACACATTAATTACAAAGTGAATTATAGACACTTAAAGTAAAAACGGTATTTTCAATCTCTAAGGATGGCATTTTAATCCATGGTAAGACTCCTTAAAGATACAATGTAGAATTACAAGGATTCTAAATAATGTCATTAAGAATGGAGAGCATTATTATAATCTATAGAAATAATCCTAAAATTGCCTTGATTGTTTGCTCCGAATGAAAAATTTTATTATTATTATTATTATTATTTTTATTAATTTTAATTCCCAGGAATCGATAGTATCCATTTTATCAATGAATATTGAATATTATTATTTTTATTTCTATTACCATGTTTTCATGCATGGAAAGACATTCTAGGGCTCACGTTTAACCTCAAATTATAAGAGGAAATAGATTTTGGTTTGAGATTCTTTTTTAACACAATTTTAATCCCTTGATCTTAGGGCTAGCATGTTTCCTTTCTTTTAATCTCAAAATAGTGATTTTTTTTCTTACCATTCCATCCACGATCGACAAAGAGCGCATAAAACAAGCATCGATAGACCTCCCTTGGATGGTCGACATAAGAGAGACGGCAGACTGAGAATAGTATAAGAAGGACACAGATAAAGAAGAGTGGAGGAGAAGAAGGGAGGCCTATATCCAGCAGTGGACGTTGAAAGGCTGAAGAAAATTTTGATCTAAAATTAGGCCACGTATTTATTATGATTATGGTATTTTGCGCTTTAGGGAATAAACTAAAATTTATTTAAGTTAGTTAATAATGGGCAGAAAATGCATACAATACAAATACAAAATTAAAGCAAACGAATCGATGGAAACTGTCCAACGGCCACTCTATTTACCTTCGATTTGAAATTATGCGGTCGGTTCGAAAGAAACTGATCGTCAACGCGGCTCATCATGTTTGTTCAACCACACTTTGTTTGCAGTGCCGACAATTGAAACGGGATATCCGAATCGAATATATAGGTGTTGACTTTGGATAAAACTTCGTTCCCAAACATACGCTCGTTCCAGATTTTGAGAAAGCAAAGTCGTTCCTAATTAACGGATTTCGACGACGTGTTAACGATTAATAACAGAGATGACAAAATAGAATTTAAATTATACATACGGGAAAGTAAAGCGTGTTACCAAAACGACATCATATAACTTACTCGGTTACAACGAGGTGATCCCGAATATATTTTTTTTCATTCGAGATTCGCTCATTAAATTCTATGATGCCATTTTAATAACATTCTGTATGTGGAAGCAAGTTTGGATGTATCTGCGCATGCGATAACACATTAAAATATATTTATAAGTGATTTATCAAAAAAAAAATCGTAGATATGTCATATGTACTTTCTTCAAAGTCAACAAAAATCGTCTGAATTCAAGAATTCGAGTTTTGTTGCAGCAATTTGTACGAAATCCTAAGTACGTCACACAATAAAACTTATGCTCTTTGAGTACAATGTAACTTTTAAACCTTACAGCTCAAACGACACCGTAAAAAGCACAAAAACCAAAAAACCTTTAAAGAAAGATGATACCAGACTTGTTTTGACTAAATGTGTATCGATAAGTGGAAAACGCATTAACCTCTAGCCAGTTGCTGAATTGGGCTCCCAAAGTAAAATCATTAACCAGTAATCAATAACATATGTCTTTGGTAGGCCCGTCTAAAGCAAAACCAACCAAACCAACTAACCAATAAAAACTAACCAAAAAATTTGAGAATATACATTTACCTTTTTTGAATCATTTACATGCATACTAATAAATGCCTTGCTCAGACATGTGTTACGGGCTGCCAATCTCAACACAACCCCGAATAACTCGTTATCGGCTGTTTAGTTATGCTTCTCATTTATAGATGGCACCAAAAGACTGATTTTAAATAAAATTAATTTGCAAACCCGCCATTTTCAACATTTGAATTTAACATGTATAGAAACCCTATATTGGTATGTATAACCTATTCTGTACTAATGTTTGTTTTCTCTTAATTATTGTAAGGCTTGAAAAAGGACAACATAAATAGTAACCAAAATGCTTTAACCGTTTGGAACGAAATTTACATCGTCTCACAGCACGGAAAAATCCCAGCGAACAAAATACGGACATCCACCGAAATCCGACAAAGATACAAATTACCCTCTAATGGTTCGCACCAGAATAATGTCACAAAAACGTGATAGGGATTTAAAGGATACGGTATTATTTAGGTTATCCACCGAGAGAACACCTGGGACCGTCCTTACGTTTTATACTGTGTGTGTATGTGTGTGTATTCGACTCAAGATTTATCGTTTTTGTGATGTCAGCGTAATTGTTTTTCTTTTTTTTTCAGAAACGGCACACTGCGAGATAATTCTTCCTGTTGCTTTGTTAGTTAACACTACAAAATGACATACCACTCTTACAACCACATTAATTATTTAAAAATAGACCCACTTCCAGACTACTAATCCTCAAAAGTTATTAAGATCGATATGGAATAGAAAAATAACTACATTGGTACCTACCTGTTCTGTATCTGTATCTATAAGTGGAGGGTGGCCTGTAGCATAGCGCTTAGACCTCAGCAAGCCCTTTGTGCTACCCCTCGGACAAAGCACTCAGCTTTACATCAAGCTTAGTGACTCCACGCAGGCGATAACAACTCCAGCAGTCGTATCCCTGATTACCATAGTGGCTGGATATGATTCGTCCGGCTTTCACCTCTAAACGAGAGGTTAAGACATTTGTACAAAATATGTTCTTCTGTCTCGTCTTCCTGTTGACATATGGGAGTACTGCTCAAACCCAATCTGAAATGGCGTTTGTTAGTAAGCAATACATTAAATAAAAGGACTTATGCCCAGGCGTAGCTTTGTCTTGGACAGAGTGAAGCATTTTTTGGCTGCTGCTTCGTATGAATAGCTTTAATAGCGTCCTAACTAGTCAACAGTTTTTCTTTTCATGAATTTTTTGTAGAAATTGTTTCCGAAGTTTTCCTTTATCAGCTCTTCAATGCAGATTCCAGTCCTTTAAAGTTTATCCAGGCACCCTCCTGCATGTTTTTCTCTTGAATGCGCATGGCCTTTAATTCAACTACTTGTTTACTATAGTTTTGCAAAAAGTTCCAACTTATTGTACTTGAAAATGTCAATAAACTACACTACATCCTGGCTTTGACCCAAAAAAAGTATTTTATCAATAACCTTGTTGGTAAGTGTATTTCCAAATACTAGACGTGTGGTTTTAGGTGTTTGGGTCACATATCCCTTTAGTCCGGAAAAATTGCAACGAATAATTGCTTGCTTGCGTGTTCCCCTGCGCATCCGCCAATTGTAAATTATTCTTGGTTCGCTCTTAAATACTTGATTGGTGTGCTTGCGGCTATTATTTTCGTACGGAAAAGAAATTTCAAACATACACTACACTTTTTCTTTCTAAACAGCAGTATCCACACACTTAAATTGTTTTTCCACTGAAAATTGAATAGGATCTGGACAACTTTTGGCAAAATACTACCGAGAACATGCTAGATCAAACTTAACACTGAAGTGTCGCTAGATCTTATTGGTTGATTTGCAATGACAGGTCCAATTTGTTCGAAACGAGATGTCATACAACCGCTAACAAAATGCCAGTAAAACTAAACCTAATTTCAAAGTTCGCTTGATTCCTCATTAAAATTGTTTATTCAGATTTGAATTTAAGAATATACGGGGTAAAACAATAAGCAAAAAATATTTTTACCGAATGCAACATTGGAGCATAATCTTTTGTGAACGTTTTGTTTTTTAATCACTACATTATCTCTATTGAACGAATGGTGTGGCCAATAGAGTATCTCTTATCCAACTTCATAATGCATTCGTCGCCGATCTGCTATACTACCCGACATCCTACATGATCTACGAATTGTGTTTCGGTCAAAATTTGATGCCATTCCACAAGAATTTGTTATAAAGCATATTAATGAAGAGTCAGTTTGGTACAAGGACTCGCTGGATATTAGCTTTAGCCTTAAAACGTTTTTATTTATTAAATCTTGTTCTTTTAAGTTTTCTAATTAAAATTACGGTTTTCACAGCTTAATCCGAGGCACGTGCTTTGAAACCTTGTATATCCAAGAAGAACTGTTACATTCTACATGATATTCAAAATTTCGGACAAACACTTCATCTCATTGTTGCACGATATGCTCAAATTCAAATCCGGATAAAAATCATCGAAATGAAATGAACTTTTTCACGAGGAAGCCAATTTTAAAATTGGGGTCAGTCTTTGAGTGGGCGTTTTTTTTTGCTCTAAGGGATTATTATAAAAAATAATTATTTATAATTTCCGAATCCTATCGACTTATTTATTGACAATAAATATATAACAACAAAACTTGTAGGGTGCAAAAATAGGTTTTTAGGAAAAACGAGGGAGAAACAACTAGTAAAATCATTTAGGGTAACAAAATAATAGCATTTATTTTAAATATTGTACAAAAATTTGTTACTTTATATGGAACATGTTTTAAGGAAAGATTAAGTAATAATGAAATAATTAATTTCGTACAGAAAACAGGCAGCTCGTATAAATAAAGTCTAACGCGAGTACTACAGTTGAATACGTAACCGGGTTGAAAAAAATAACAATAAATAGCTCCTGAAATATGGCGTACCTAAAAAAAATTCTCTACTTAATTTATGAGGAAGGAATTAAAAACATTTGATTTTTGGGATATTGTTGTCACGTCATCACAAACCTGAGCTGACTAGAGCGACATCAAACACCACCAAACAAAAACTAAATAAAAAAAAATAACCGAACACGTCAAACCAATAAAGGAAATGTTAAATTTATTGTTTCGGAAACACCAACTTACACTGGTAATCGACAAGTTACCACGTACCATTTATATAAATTTCTTAAAACTAAATTTTATTTTATAATTTTTCCAAATTTAATGCGATTTTCCGCAAACGCTACCGAAATATTAATGGTGAAAGGATTTTAAAGGAATAAACGAAAATTTGGCACCGCCGCAGAACCTGACGTCAGCCGATAGATGTCTCTGCGGTTGGCCGTCTTTGAAAACAAAGTATTTACACCTGGACTGGTAAAACTGTCACCGCTAAAACTTGAAGAACTCTGCGTCGTAAAACTCACCCCCTGTCTCTTCGGGGGCATAATCGTAATGAGCGTGCTTCAGCCACGTCTTCTTGATCATGTCGCTACCCTTCTCCCCGATCATAATTATCGGGGCATTAGTATTGCCCCTCACAATTTTAGGCATGATCGACCCATCGATCACCCTGAGATGTTTGATACCGTGCACCTTTAATTCCGGATCTACTACCGCGTGAGGGTCTTCGTGGGGGCCCATTTTGCATGTACCCACCGGATGGAAAATGGTGGTCGTGTAAGACATCGCTACACAAGCCCAGTACTCGTCGGTACCGAATTTGATATGAGCGCAAGCCGGCAAAGGGGTGGAAACCAAAGCCGCCCCCACCTTCTGCATAGCGTGGGTACTTAGCATATTCAACCACTGCTTGATCCCTTCGACTATTCTACGCAGATCTATTTCCTTGAAGAAAGTGTTAGGGTGGATCAGAGGCGTGCCGAAAATGGGATCGGTGTCGTTTAATCTAACCACTCCTCTACTCTCGGGGTTCATTAGAATCGGCCTCACCATGATACCGTTATAGTAGGGTAATGGTGTCACTTTAGTTTGAGCCGTTAAAATGGGATCAGTGAAGAAATCATCGACGTTGGTGGAGTCTACAGAGTACTGGATATCAGGTCTTTCAAACGAATGTTCGTATTTGGTTTGGACGAAGGCGTTCGCTTGCAAGGGTCCGGTAGACGCCAATGGGCCCCTTTGGTGCTCTTTGAAGTAAAATATATCTTGTTTCTGCTGCTCGAATGTGGCGGACGTCGAGCTGTGATTGTTCAACGCTATGACCACTCCATCTATGGTCGTATGATCGTGAAGGTTATATCCAACCGCAAGATCTTTGATAACTTCGATTCCGTGCTGCTTCAGATGATCGCCAGGTCCCACACCGCTCAACATTAATATAATAGGCGAGTTTAACGAGCCCGCCGACAAGATTACTTCCTTTCTTGCCAACGCGCGGTATAATTTGTTCTTCGAAGAATATTCCACGCCGTATGCGGTCTTGGTTTTCGGATCTATCAAGATACGAACCACGTGAGCTCTAGTTTGAACCGTGAGATTCTCCCTCTCTTTCCTAATCGGTCTTATATAGGCCTTGTTGGTGCTCATCCTCTCGCCGTTTTTGGTTGTGTGCTGGAGAAGCATCGTACCGAGGGTCCTGTCGGCGTTTTGGTCGACGTATTCTAGTCCGAGTTCTTGATACGCCTCAACGAGCGACAAGGTAACTTTGTCCTGGTAAGGGAAATACTCGACTACTTGGTACCCGTCGAAACCGTGATAGTACTTTTCTATCTTCTCGGGGTTTTTGTTTTTCTCTGCTTTGATAAAGTACGGGAGAACGTCTTGGTATGACCAGCCGTGGTTGCCTAACTCCTCCCATTCGTCGTAGTCTTTCGGGTGTCCTCGGATGTAGATAAGATAGTTTATCGTCGAAGATCCGCCCATAACTTTGCCCCTGGCCCAGGAACATTGGCCGTTAGCTCGAGCCAGGCAGCTGTGAGGAGAAGGTTGAGTCATATAGCCCCAGTCGATGCTGGACTGTTGGAGGGTGGGAGCGAACGCTGGTACGTCAGCTACTTCGGGTTCCTCTTCGCCTGCTTCTAGGAGAAGAACCTGGAAATTGAGATGTTGTCAGGCGCTGAAGATATTGAGTCTAGCAAGTTAGTTTCTAATCTATCTTAGTAAAGTATTTGTTCATTATAACTTTAAAGACTAAGTGACCTCGGAAGATTAGTGTTACTGATTGATTTGATGACATGGTAGCAACTGCTGCGGCTACACTCGATTTTTAGCTGTGGCGATTGCGACGAAATTAACCGGTAAAACGATTACTCAATTGCGATATTTATTTCCCTGTTATTTCTATACGGATCGACGAGAGATTGTCTCTCGCCTCTCGAACGAGGGTTCATAAAATTTCCAGCGTTCGTTTTCGCGATTTCCCATTCTTTTCAGCCTCGCATACTCGGCCGTATAAAACCGTCGTTTTTTGCTCTACTTTTAATCGTTTGCTTTCACGGCATGCGGAATGTCATTATCGTTTACAATCGCGCGTTATGTTTACTAACGTCAATTTCGTCACGGCCTACGACCGAGCCGCATATTTTGTGGTTTGTATCGAATTTGGCGGGCAAATAATAGGGGACTGGAACAAAATTTTAATTTGTATAATATTAATTATAAAAGTGATTTTATATTATTAAAAAAAAAAACAGTTCACGAAAAAAATCATTTCGTAGTTCTATGTAAAAAATATAAGCAATATTTTTTTTGTAAAATTTAAATTCTCTTTGAAACGCTCTGTTATTGGCTGTGACCGGTTGTGACGTCAATTCGCTGGTATGATTATGCGCCAGCCGGACGGTAGCTTAGAGATTCGTTTCAAGAACGACAACGCGTGCGTCTTGGTGGTTTTAATTTTAATTTTAGTCTTGATCTTTGCTTTGGTTATCTCGTGTTTAGAATCAAAAAGTTTTGAAAATAACCGAAGCCGATTTTTTAAAAGGTCAATCTGATAGCCTACCTTTAATGGACGTGTTTATTTATGGTGACATCTTACATACAAAAAACAAAAATGTTTTCTTTTGCTGGGGTTCGCGATATTAAAGTTAAAAGGTATGTTCATAGAAAATGTAGCCATTAGTTTTAAAACAACATAATATTGAAATCAACTTAAAGTTTTTGGTTTTTAAAATTCTAAGGTATATCAAATAAATAAATCATTCGACAAAAAAAAACAAAAAGGATTTTTTTTAAACTAGTGGAAACCTAAATACTGAGTTTAAAGCATATTGGCATTGATACCCTAAAGTATTCTTTATTTTATATAGATCTGGAAGCCATTCATATGGAGACTGCAATAGTTCGAAGAGTTAAGAGATGTTAACAAAAAACGACTGCTTTTAATTTCTGGTAGACGAATAAAAACTTTATCTGGCGTTTTACTGGTGGTACTCAAACACGATGGCACGATTTGTAATATTGTTTTTGTGTTGCTTCCATTGTTATCATGTAAAGCACACTAAGCACAAATACAAACTGTCATAGATTAAATACAAACACACTTTACACGAGCCAAAAATAAACGTAAATTATATAATTCTCGGCCTATTACCTAAGAATAACACTATAACATCTCGCCGTATCGATCGAAAAGTAGCGGTATGACGTCATGATGCATTAATTCATTAATTATTTATTGCAACTTAAACATTTGATTTGGTTTTGAGTCTTGATATGCTTTATTTCCATTCCTAAACAAATGTATTAAAGAAATTTTAAAAATATGTTCAAGTTCCCTATTTTGTCTTGTAAAATAAAGTAAGGTTGGTTTATGATCACAGTGTGGTTCACTTAGAAGTTGTAAGCGGCCCGAGAACATCACGCAAATTGTACTTGCTTTTGTTATTCTTAATTGGATTTTCGAAACACTTTATGCTGTTTTTATTACCGAGAAAGTTAGAAGTTTGTAATTAGATTTGTCCTTTTTTGCAAATTTTACTGGATCACTATAAATAGGTACCCTCAAAATTTCATTTGCCGAATAGTTACTACTTATCACATTATCACAAAAAGTAAATGTCACTCCACTTTTCCAAGTCGATTTGTTTTAACAATATAAAAAATAAATATTATATTACGTTTATTTATGAATAATAAAGTCACAATTAGTACTAATACAAAGTAGAATGACACTATATATAAAAATTCAAATAAATTCAAATTCAAAAATATTCTATATCTATATTATCAATTGCATTTTCAATTAAATCTATTATACTCATATTTAAAGTAACACTAACATTGTCTGCTCTCATATTTGCTTTTACTTGGTGTCCAACTTGGCTATATGGGGTTGAATATACAATGATATATAGGACGATGTATAACAGTACGACCCATTTGTTCGACTAAACTACCACATAATGTATTTTAATAGCATGTGAATTTAACATGTTCGCTCTGCTATCTTCTTGGTAGACCAGACTAGAATAATCAAAATTGAACAACGAACAACTATTCTGATCCAGTGTGAATTATGGTGATGCGTTGTCCTTTATTTGGAGGTGCTTTTGTCTGACAGTTTTTACTGGAATGAACCCATCAGTGGGATACCCCTTCTCTCCCTTCTCTTCTTTGGCGTTATCCGTTCCGGATGCTGGTTCATAGATATAAGAAAGTGACTAACTGATACGAATTAAGGAAAGACCCGGGCAAGCTGTAAGTATGAAATATGGCCGAACAGGTCCGTGCTTTGCTTATAATTTAATTATTTGGGGTTTTGTTAGGAAAGATACTAAACAATATCTATTTATTTATGTATGTATTTATGTTTAAATCTAAAATAAAATTACAAATTATTTTTATTACCCACTTAAATTACTTAAAATTATTCCCACAATATATCAGTATCACTATCGCTATCATCGCCTGTTCTAATTATTATTTGTTCTATATTATTTGCAATATGGATATACGATTGTTCTATATGTTTAGAGAATTTGCCCAATCTTGGTGGAGGGATGTTAAAAACTTCGGTTTCTATAAGTTTGAGGACATTGGAGTTAACACGGGGAAAAATATTGTGGTAAGGTGGAAGCCTTAAAACTGTATGCCCTAGATTTTTTGCATAATTATCACAGACATATTCCTTTTGTAGGTTCAAGCTTTGTAGAACCTCAATTAATTGCTTTTTGATATAATCTTCGTGAAAATAAATGTCGTTATTATACATGTAGTTTTGGATTGTTGCTTTTGTGTCACATGCGTAAGGGGTTTTAGTCAACTGTCTACTGTGATAACTTTTATTGTCCATTACAATTACGCTATTAGGAGGAATCTTCGCAACTAGTTTATTTTAAACCAACTTTCAAATAAATTAACGGTGGTGTGTTCATGGTAATCCAGAAAAGAATCTTTAACATTTTTCGCAGACAGAGAAAGTCCATTTGGAATTCAACCATCTGTAGAGCCAGCATGCAAAATGGTTATTCTTTTACCTCTTTTTGATGGCGCGTTTGTTTTACACTTATCAGTTGAGTCAACCCAACCCTTTTCCGGGGTATCGTAAGTGTCGAACCGGGTTTCATCCCAGTAAATAATTGGCCTTTGTTGTTCTCTGTAAATCCCAATTTTTTCTAGATATTGCAGACGCCATTTCCGAATTCTAAAAGATTCCATTAAAACTTGCCTTTTGTCAATTTTTTAAAATCTAAAACCCATGTGTTGAATACACTTCCATAAGGTAGTTTTGCCACATTTAACACCGGTTTCATCTTTTTCAAGCCTCCTAATTAAGATATCTAATGTAGGCACGCTTTGTTCCTCGTATAACTGGTAAATTTTACGCCGTATTATATCTTGATCACTTCCATCTACACTCGAGAAAATGGCAGCATCGCTTCTTTTTTTCCTCGCTGAAATGGGATTATTCACAATTTTCCATACAGTTGATATCGGAATTTTCGTCAATGTGGCCGTTTCTTCTAAAGATGCTTGCTTTCTAGCACCACATTCAATGAAAGTCAAATAAACATTGGTTATAACTTCCTTCGTCTCAATAGAATAGTGTTTTCTACATTTGGGCGGGAGCATCTCCTGAGATACACTAAACTCGCACATGTTTTGCATAATTCGCACACGATTAACTTAAACTAAGTAGCATACCAAACCAAAAAATATTAAACACAGGTAGGTATAAAATTATTTTCTATTGCGGACCACAATTTTACCTGAATTTAAATTCCGAAACTTTAGGTAATAATCTCGTTGCATTGTATGTTAATGACCACCCTTCCATAATCCCACTCAAAGGCAATTCCATGGAAGTTACGCCAAACCTCTTCGTGAGAGATTCTCCTTTTATCTGATCCTCTAGAAGATTTTAATAAAGGAAATTTCTTTCATATCATATTTCGATTACTGCCGTCCAAAACGTGACATGAGAAATCACGTTTTTTTCTTTCCGTCAATTCTCTGTTAAGCACTGTCCCTTATCGAGGGTATTAGAGTTTTTGTAAGTAGGCGGTATTCTTTTATTCTCGTTTTTTTGAAACATATGAAAAGAATAAAGGTCGAGGGAGAGGCCCTCAAAAGTCGTAACACACCATACCTCGAATCTCTCAAACAACAAGTTGTTTTGAATTTCCCCTTACTTGACAAAACTTAAATTTTCCTAATCGATTTTTGACGATATACAACTTTCCATAATTCCCGTAACACCTCAAAATAAATAGTAAATCTCAAATAAAAACAACCTGTTTTATTTATTTTCTGAATTTAAATCCGAATTTCAACACCCTTTTTGTTTGACAAACAATAAAATCGAAGTCGCAAAAAACGGCGGAAAACAAGACGCAAACGGGAAGAGAGGCTCGGGAGTTAGGGGGGAGATGAGGTCCCGCGGGAAACGGAGTTTGAATTACTACCCGCGAGGACGTAAATCATGATTTTCGGCAGATTATCCGAAGCAGTTAACTCCTACCTACACGTGCATTACACTACATTTATTTAGGAATTAAACCGTTTGGCGGATTACTGACACGATAAATTACGAAATAAGTATCCGCATTAACTGAAGGTTTTATTGCTCCATGTTGGCATCCTTGTTAAAG